GTCTGACTCGTTCGACGGCAGCACCCCCACGACTGGGCGCCGCCCTGGTCGTGAACGCCGCGGGTCGCGGCGCCAGCGCGGATCCGCTCGAGGTAAAGCAGCGCGGCGATGGTGCGCGCCTTCTGGCGACGCCGCCGGCTGTACGACGTCGAGGCCCGCGAACGGGCTGGTGAGCAGCGGTGAGTGGGCGGAGGTGCGGCGGGGTCGTATGCCCGTCGGCGATGGCGGGGCGTCGCCGGAGATCAGTCGTCACACGGCCCGGCAGCGAGGACTCAGGGCTGCTGCACATGCAGCGACGATTCCCTCGACCGCCCTTCCTCCACGCCGACCTCCCCCTCTCCCCGCGCATCGCGAGGACCCGCTCCTCCCTCGATCGCCAACTCGCCACTGAGGCGGTCGACGCGACGGCGGAGGGGAGCCTGAGGGAGAGCGTCGCCGCGAGGGGGCGCACCCGTCGCGGACGGATGACGATGGTGACACGCGGACGAATGGCATCGTTCGCGTGACGTCGGAAGCAAGTGTTGACTTGGACGGATGCGCGGGACGACGCGGCGGCCTCAGGAGGAGAGGCTGCAGGGATGTGGGGGTGGAGGAGAAGCAGGAGGAGGAGAAAGAGGGAGAGGGAGGGATGCTGATCTCACAGGTTTGATTCTGAAGCTTCCGGGAACACGCGGACGGACTCGCCACCTTGCAGCGCACGTCGACGCACGGAAGGAGGTGCGGCGGAGTTACGACGAAGACAGCCTGCTGTCTTGAAGACTCAATGAAGCATGTGCCAAGAATGAAGCAGGAGAAGGAGGAGGACCACACAGAGAAGGATCCCTTGAGAAGCGGAAGAAGACTGCCACAGAGAAGGATCCCTGGAGAAGGGAAGAAGACTATACGGGGAAGGATCCCTGAGAAGGGAGAAGACTACACAGAGAAGGATCCTGGAGAAGGCGAAGAGGACTGCACAGAGAAGGATCCCTGGAGAAGCGGAAGAAGACTACACAGAGAAGGATCCCTGGAGCAGGGAAGAAGACTACACAGAGAAGGATCCCTGGGAGAAGCGGAAGAAGACTGCACAGGAAAGGATCCCTGGAGAGCAGGAGATGATGCATGGAAAAAAAACCAGGAGAGGAAAAGAGACCACGTGCATAGAGAAGCTCACTCAGGGATAGAAGCAATCACAGGAAGAAAGACGACTACTCAGAGAAGGAAAGTCAGCGAGAGAAAGAACGCTCACAGATAGTAAATAACACAGAGAATAGAGAAGACACCAGAGAAGAAAGACAACACACCAGGGGCCTGATGGGGAAGGAAGACTACCCCAAAAGAAAACCACATGATAGACCAAAACTACCGGAGTAAAGGAAGCTTGATGGAGAAGGACGACTACAGAGAAAAGCAGAGCCACATGATAGACCAAAGACTACACAGAGAGAACGCCCTGTATTGCGAGGCTAGAGAAGGAAGACCTGACCGAAAAGAAGAAGTCTATAACGGTGAAGGAATCTAACAGAGAAAGGAAAGACTACATAGAGGATAAAGGAAACACGGAGAAGGAAGCGCGACGACACACGAAATAAAGACTATGCAAAGAGTGAGAAGATGTCAGAGAGGATAGCGGAACAGAGGAGGAAGGCAACGCGAAGGAAGGAACGCTCAATCTATTGCTCAGCCCTGCACTTGTCAGTCCATCGTCTCACCTGCATGCTCAATTCCACCGCCACTCCTACACTCAGTCTTACGCTCATTCTCACGCACAGTCCTGCGCTCACCCGTCCACGCTTGCTTCTCTCACACACTCGCGCAGTCGCTCAGTCTCACGCAGGTCTGACGATGGGTGGCATGGAATGGCACCCTCCAACACAATCAGCGCCCCTCTGCTGCCTCGCCACTAATCACCGTGCGCACCTGGGGGAGTGTGAGATAAACTCAGATGCTAGAACAAGATTCGTGCGCCGTGCCCAGTCAGTCCAGTCCAAAAGGTCAGCAGGCGAGGGCCAACGACCAGGGTCATCCGAGAGTTCAGAGGTCGTGACCGCCGAAGGTCAGTGACGAGGTCAGATGTTATGGGCCCCGAGTCCGGTCAGCACGAGGTCAGAGTGTCATGGCCGAGCGTCATCGAAAGATCAGATGTTATGGCCAAGGGTCACGTGAGAGTAGGTCAGATGTCATGGCCGAGGTCAGCGAGAGGTCAGATGTCATGGCCGAGGTCAGCGAGAAGTCAGATGTCATGGCCGAGGTCATTGAAAGGTCAGATGTCATGGCCGAGGTCAGCGAGACGTTGCAGGACGTGAGCAGAGGATTCGAGGATCGGACGACGCTGCTGCCGGGGGATGCAGGGATGAGGATGCAGCAGCAGCAGCAGCTTCAGCTTCAGGTAGGTGTGGTCAGTGACGAAGCGAGTGGGGGAGGGATGAGGTTCGCGATAGTCGATAATGAACCGGTTTTGCATTTGGAAAAGTGTATTGTGGGACTTTTTGACTGCTCTGCAATGAAATGATGGCTGTTTAAATGTTGTACAGGTAAACCTCGATTATGCGACCGAAACGGGCAGGGAGGATTTTGTTCAGATAACTGATCTGATCGTATTACCGTTAAATATTAACTGGACCTTGAGATCTGGTTCGGATAATCAAAAATTCGGATAATTGATGTTCGGAAAACCGAGGTTTGACTGCAGTTGTTTCATTCAATGCTAGTTTATTATGATTATGTTTTAATCAAATGTTGGTAGTTTTACCAACATTTATTACAGTTTTTTTGTTGGAAGAACTCAGTTTTAAATGTAGCAGTGCATGCTTCCTTTGCCACTATTCAAATCTGTAAAAAAACTGTTCACACTACGAGAAATAACTCGTGCGTGCATACTCTCACACGTGTCTCTGTTCCTCTCCAGGCTCCCCACGTTGGACCCAGGCTGACCTTTCAACAGTCTCCATCAGCCACACAGCAGCAGCAGCTTCACAGGCTGACAGCGAAGCCTCCATCTCGCCGTGCTAGCAGACGACACGTGCGTCGCCATGGCGACCGCGCAGCCTCCGACTCGGAGAACAGCAGCGCGCCGTCGGACGACGCAGCAGGGTCGGCGCCCGCAAGGTCGCGACCTGGGTCGTCGTCGCGGCGACGCCGGAAGCCCGCGCGTGTTGCCGTGGCGACCAGCGACAGCTCGGACGTGTACGCAACGACGGAGAGCGGCGGCGATTTCTCGGATGACTCGCTCAGCCAATCGGACGAGGCGGCAGGGGGCGCCACCTCCCCCCACACGCCAGGAGGTGCTGCATGCTCCAGCCCGCTGGGGTGCGCCATGTTGCACATGCCCCTAGGGGGCGCTACCGACATATCTACTGTGATATCAGGGGACGCTGTGCCCCACAGCCTACCAGGGGGCGCCACAGATACCTCTAATGAGAGTGTGGAGGGCGCTCCATCACACAGCCCACCAGGGGGCGCCGAATACATATCTGAAGAGGGAATAGAGGGCGCCACATCCCACCACCTGCCAGGGGGCAGCACAGACATATCTAATGAAAATACAGCGAGTGGCACGTTGGACAGACTTCTAGAGGGCGTCACAAACATATCTGACAGGATCACGGGGCAGCACGGCGCATACAACAACCTACCAGGGGGCTCCACAGACATATCCGACAACACAACAGAGGGCGCCACACTCAGCCACCTGGACGACGGTCAGCCATCAACCGACCAATCCGTCGCCGCACGGCACGATCCGCGAAGAATGCACCACCAGGTGGAGCCCCCGACCGACGGCACAGCGGTGGGCAGTTCCCGGCCCACGCTGTCCCTGCTGGCAGGGGGCGCTGCTGCGGCGGGCGGCAGCGAGGGGGCGCGCGGGCTGGGTGACCTCTTTGCCAGAGCGCCACGAGAGATGCTTATCGACTACTCAGCTATGGAGATGAGTGAACCACAGCTGTCGCCGATACTAGAGAGAGAGGAGGGGGTGGCAGGTAGCACTGTCTATGATAGTAGTAATGCAGATGATACTATCCGGGACCCAGACGACATAGATGCTAACCAGTGCTTGATAAATGGTGGAAAGGGAGGGATGGTCTACGACACAGCACAGGACACAAGCAATATAAATGCCAAACTGGCCTTGCTAAAGGATGGAGAGAGAGGGACAGCAAACCATGACCAGGACATCAATCATGCACACAACTCTACCCAGGACAATAGCAATATAGATGCCAAGCAGGCCTTGCTAAAGGATGGGGAGAGAAGGACAGCAAACCATGTTCAGGACATTAACCATACACACAACTCTACCCAGGACACTAGCAATATAGATGCCAACCAGGCCTTTCTAAAGAATGGAGAGAGAGGGACAGCAAATCATGACCAGGACATCAACCATACACACAACTCTACCCAGGACACTAGCAATATAGATGCCAACCAGGCCTTGCTATAGGATGGGGAGAGAAGGACAGC